GCGACGCCATCCGGGAGATCCGGCGGCTGCGGCCTGGCTCCATCGAGACATGGGAGCAGGAGCAAGCTGTGATCCAGTTCTGCCAGCGCATTCAGTAGGTGCAGCCTTGCAGCAGGGAGTCCTGTCTCTGTGTTACTCCCCTCCCCAGAGGGGCTCCCTGTGCCGTGCCAGGGCCACAGCTGGTGGCGTGCCGGGTGCAGCAAGCGGTAGGGGAGCTGTGGGTCCCAAAGCCCAGCTCACCAGTGGGATCTGCCCCACCACAGCGCCGGAGAGGACAGCGAGGAGGCGTGAGCACGACCATCTCCCCAGGGCAGTATGTGCTGAATGGGTTCAATGGAGACGGTCGCTCCGAAATGGTGGGGGGCCTTTCCCAGCCCCAAGGTGCTGCCGTCTGTCCCCTCCCACATTAAAGGACTCTCCTGTAGCTTCTCTCCAGGGCTCTGTGTGGGGAACCGGTGGGCAGCACACATGCTCGCGGCTCTGCCAGGCTCCCTGCCATCCCGCTGCACCGCCCGGCTGGGTCGGCAGCCGCACCCCAGGCTGTGGGAGTCCTGGCTCTTGGGTCTCTGCCTGGCCTCAGCCCTTGGGGAGCACAAGCAGCTCTGCTTTGGGCACCGGCAGGTGGGTCCTGGAGCTGGTCGCCTGCTAAAGCAGTGGAGGGTGGCAGCCGCATCAGCGCATGGGGGCCGGCCCGGGACATTGATGCTTAAAGTGAAGCTCAGATGGAATTTAGGTATCTCTGTCCAAAAGTCCAATCCTGAAAATCTCTTCTCAGCTGCTCCTAACCTTGGTGGCATTTAAATCCTAAGTGCAAGAAGTGTCACCGTCCCCGTTCCCAGACGTGTGGCACATGGCTGGGAGTGCCTGGCATTCACTGGGCACGAGCTCCCTGAGCTGATAGGGCCATCGCCTCTGCCAGGCAGCTCCATGGCCCCCAAACATTGTTCTGAAACCCCAAAATGTCGTCATCTTCCCTTGGGAACGAAGCACCAGGGTGGTGGCACTGGGCACTGCTGACAAAACGGCTGTGCCCTGCTCAGAGCCGTGGCTGGGGACAACTGACTGTCTTGGGGCAGCTGTAGCACCCCGGTGTCCCCCCCTCTCCTGGACCTGGCTCCTCCCACAGGGCTTGGGATGGGACTGGCGGGGATGGAGGAGGTGACCAGGGGGGTCTTCACTGCAGGGTGCGGGGCACCCCAAAAAGCAGGGGGTAGAAAGCAGCCCCCAGCTCTGCCCAGTGCCCCATGGCCCTTCCCTGGCGGGGGTTCAGGAAGCACCCATGTCCCATGAGCAATGCCATGGCTCCATTGGGCTGTGACACCACACCAGGACGCAGGGCTGTCCAGGGGGTGTTCGACTCTGCCTGCACCCCTTGCCTGGGGCACTGGGGGGGG